TTTGTCATCCATATGATCTTAGAAAAGTTGGCTGATTTCTCTGATGTTTCCTTGATCTGCATGTATATGAAAAGGTTAATTTCTATCACTGGGGTTATTATGACAATTAAATAAAGGGAAGCAAAAAATAAGCATGGGATTCTGAAGCTAAATCCCAGTTAGGTTGTGCCTGTTGAAATCTGCAGTTCCTTTCACCTTTGTGTTTGTAAGCTTTTCTTTCTCTCTGAACTCTTCCTTAGCATCCTTCCCTACCTTTTCTTTCCTTCCCCCACCTGACCCCCTTTTTGGGATAGGTCTCACAGAAGATAAACAGGGTGAGAAGTTTCATGCCATAGCTCTTCTCTCTCCAATAAAATGCTTTAAGTCTCTCTTTTCCCTACATTTGTCAGTTATCATGTACTTAGTAAGGCCTCACAGGACATCGAGTACCAGAAGAGATAGCTGAATACTTAATTCCACTCTAGTTATCCAAGCCTGTCATTCCTGGTCACAAATGGAAAGCCAATCCTACGTGAAACAAGAACTTCTTTAGTGCTAATCCTGTGTTAATAAATTTGTTAAATTAGTCTTTGCTGACACAGAGAGGAGAACACTTTGCTATATGTAAGAGATTTATTTCATTGTTTGATCTATGCATAATTTCAAGGGCATTGGTGGGGGAAGATGTTCTTTCAGGATAGCCAAGAAGTATCAAGTTAGGCCAGTAGTTGCCCTGAGCATGCTTGTTTAAGAAAGATCTGACAGGAGTAAGAGTCATTTTCAACTTGTTTTTTAAAGGTGCAGAGGGAATTTCTTTACTGTCTAAAGAAATTTTGCTATTTGAAGGGAACTAATGAAATATTTTAGAGTCATCCTTTTAATGGATGATAGTTTTAGTTTATGTATTTATAGTGAACTATATCCCAGTAAGTTTTTAAAAAGATTTTCAAGGATATGTGAAATATAAGATAATCTTATAAATTACAAAAGGGGAAAAAGAAGGAAAGTCATGGGTGGACTTGTGAAAAATGAAGCTAACATTGAGACTGGACAGTACTCCAATAACAGCCTGCCTTCTTGCCTCTGGTTAGACTGTAAATTTGGCTTTTGGCCTTCCAGGTAGTTTTGCAATTTGCAGTAAGATAAAAATAAGACTATTGCTGGCTGGGCACGGTGTCTCACGCCTGTAATCCCAGCACTTTGAGAGGCCAAGGTGGGCAAATCACGAGGTCAGGAGCTTGAGACAAGCCTGGCCAACATGGTGAAACCCCGTCTCTACTCAAAATACAAAAAATTAGCTGGGCGTGGTGGCACACACCTGTAATCTTAGGTACTCGGGAGGCTGAGGCAGGAGAATCACTTGAACCTAGGAGGTGGAGGTTGTAGTGAGCCGAGATCGTACCACTGCGCTCCAGCCCAGGCAACAGAGTGAGACTCCATCTCAAAAAAAAAAAAACTATTGCTGAGAAAAAGCATAACAGTTCTTGCAACAAAAATCAGAGAGGAATTTTTCTGAATGAGTCAATGTGAAAATGACGCAGGGTAATCTAACAAACAACACTCCAGCAATAACCTGCAGGAAGAGCAAGGGTGAATTTCATAGAGCTCTGTCCTCTAACAACTGTCAGTACAAGCTGATGTATCACAAAAAGCACTGTTCATAGAAGGAATAATCCTGTGGAGTGCAGCAGGCCCAATATGCTGTGATTCACAGAACCCAGTTTTCTGTTGCGCTGACTTGAACTCAACACATATTTTAGAAAATCTGGCAAATGGAATGTATTTTCCTTGGTCAGCTATTCTTAAATGTCTTTTTTTTACTCAGATGAACGTTGTCAAATATTTGATAGCACCAATAGACATGTTCCAGGAGCAGAGCTTTGCATTTTGTTCCAGGTACATACCAACACTTACGCTTTAACAGAACGCAGTTTGAAGTTGGATTGACTTCTTTGAAAATTGAGAAGCCAAATAAGAATACTAGCCTCAAGAGTCCTCCAGCCTTGTGGATGAGCTAAAGATGGGCCCTAGTAAAAAACTCACCCTAGTAAATGGGTTTGAATCTGTTTTAATGTGCAGCCAGATAGTAGCATGAAACCCCAAAGCTCTACCATACCCTGTGTTATGGTCACAGTAAATTGAGTCTGGAAGATTTTTCATGCATATGTAACCAGTACCCACCTGGCAGAAAAGCGCAGGTCACTCATCAAACTTTGTCTGGCTTTGAGCAGTGTGACTTCTGGTTTATCTTTGCTGATATACACTGAGTGTATACTTGCCAAATATACACTGAGAAAATTAGATGAATGAAGTTGTTGAGTAGAATTGTTATTAGTCAGTTAAAAATGACAGCCCACTTACCAAATGTAAGATACTCGATTACAGAATAGGTCATCAATAGCCCTTTCTTTTCTGACAGGAATTAATAAACACAAAGGAATTCCTTATTAGTCATAACAAAATTATGGTACCCTAGAGTTTTAAAAATAATAATAATAAACTGCTTATCTCAAACACTTTGCATGTCCAAAAATGTGATTAAGCCAAAACTCTTGAAAGGAGGAGCTTATACAGAATTATCTGGGTGGGCCCCAAATGCAACCATGTGTACCCTTATAAAAGAGAGCCTCAGGAACACTAGGGACAGATACATAGATGAGAATACATATATAAAAGAGGCAATGTGACCCTGGAGGTAGAGAATGGAGTGATGTGGCCATGAGTCAAGGAATGCCTGCATCCACAGGAACCTAGGAGAGGAAAGGAAAGAATTCTCTCCTAGGGCCTTTGAAGGGCCCACCCTGCTGAAACCTTGCTTTCAGACTTTGATCTTTCAGAATTGTGAGGAAGTAAATTTTTGTTGTTTTGCTAAGGCTGTGGCAATTTTTTATGGCAGTCCTAAGAAAATAATATACCCCATGGATTTATATTGTAATTATTCTTGTACTAGGATTAAGTTTTGCATTCTTGTTGGATATTTTCTGCTTAAAACTTTATTTAAAATTATCTCTTATTGTTCAATTGAATAAATCCACTTTATCTACAAAAAAAGAGAGAGAGAATGGTACGTACTAGCTTATACAAAGTGGCATCATGTTATTAATAAGAAACAAGTTAACAAAAAGTAGGGGAAGAAAATACCCTCTTATACCCCACATAAAAAATTTCTTTTCTCCTTTTGTGACTCTTGCAGAATTTGGTACCAATTCTGAGTAAACATCAATATGTTGACAAAGAATTTACAGTGGGAGATAGTTATTGAATAGCAAGGTTTATGTTACTGTCAGAAGTTTAAAAATGCTGTGATTTTGTGATATACATTGCTGTGTCTTCTCCTGTTAATAATCTGCCTAGAAGTCTGGTGTCTGATGCTTACTAATAATTACCATATGGTCGCCTAGGGCTGATAAGTGATGTTAATGAGGTCGAAGGCAGAATATCAGTTGACCAGAGCGGCATACTAGAAATTAGGAAATTCAGCTTCTGGCTCTGACTCAGTCAGTGATTTTATGATATTTGTCATATCTTTTGAACATTCTGTACCTTGGCTTCTCCGTCTGTTAACCTGAATTCATAATAACTGTCCTGGTCTATCTCACAGGAATGTTGCATGGACAAATTAGATAAGTGTAAAAGTGCCTTGGAGGTAAAGCTTCTCTATGAATATAAATTAGTGTGATATAGCTACTGAAAAGTATGTTGCAGAGGCTAGAATGGTTAGTCTCTGCAGGCTTCATGACTAGATAAGGATTCATAATGGATTTCTGCCCAGCAAACCAAGCCCATCTTATCAGTTCATGACCATATAGTATTTAACAGGGGGAAAAAACTCTTTTTACAAACATTTGTTACCTTGATACAAATGTATGTTAAAATAGTCATGTTGGGGAAGGGGGAGAGGGAAGTTGGCACACAGTGGGTATAAAATTTCAGTTATGCAAGATGAATCAGTTCTAGAGATCTGCTGTACATCGTGTTAATCGCTAACAATATATTACATTGTACTCTTAAAAATCTGTTAAGTGGCCAGGTGAGGTGGCTCACTGCGAGTAATCCCAGCACTTTGGGAAGCTGAGGCAGGCAGATCACAAGATGAAGAGATTGAGACCATCCTGGCCAACATGGTGAAACCTCATCTTTACTGAAAATACAAAAAATTATCTGGGCGTGGTGGTGTGCGCCTGTAGTCCCAGCTGCTTGGGAGGCCGAGGCAGGAGAATCACTTGCACCTGAGGTGGAGGGAGCAGTGAGTCAAGATCGCACCACTGCACTCCAGCCTGAGTGGTAGAGGGAGACTTGGTCTCAAAAAAAAAAAAAAATCTGTTAAGTGAGTGAATCTCGTTTTAAGGGTTCTTACCACAATAAATTAAATTTTTGAAAACAGTCATATTTGAATGAAACTAAACCTTTCCTAGTAGTTTCAGACAATCCATAATATCTAGTTTACAGTTTCTGTAGACATTTTGGAGGGTGAGGATTTGATGTGTTTATTAAAGTTGAGAAATAAGTATATGAAACAATGTGTGGGGAAGAAAAATTGTCTCAGGTAATAATTATTACTATTTTTAGCACTTCGACTTACCAAATTGAAATTTTTGTTTGTTTCTTTTATAGAAATGTCAAAGTCTCTTCTCTACCTAAACCATATTTTCTTTCCTGGTTGTTTCATGTTCTGTCACAGTCACAGTTAACATCCTCAATCTCCATCCTTCTCATGATGCAGACAGATTGGTTCATTTAAGCTCAATGAAAGATATCATCAAATTCCCTTAAAACAGAAAAAGGGGTAGGGAGTACCCTTTCTTGAAGGAATCCCTTAAGTACTCCTCTCCCCTTTTCTCTTCACGTAAATGCAGTGTCCCAGTGTGAATTTACAACACCCAACACCCATGAGTTCAGTCCTTAAGGAGGAAAATTAAGCAAGTACTTAATTGACTGGACAGTGCATAAAAGAGGTTCTATCCAGGGTAACTCTGGAAACTTTTATTCTCAAACTTAGTTGCTTCTTTTTCTTCTGTCAGAGGACCATTCTTAGTGGCACTGGGGAAATCTTGGCACCCGGAAGAATTTAACTGCGCTCACTGCAAAAATACAATGGCCTACATTGGATTTGTAGAGGAAAAAGGAGACCTATATTGTGAGCTTTGCTATGAGAAGTTCTTCGCTCCTGAGTGTGGTAGATGCCAAAGGAAGATCCTTGGAGTAAGTATTGGAAATGTTTTGTTTTTTTTTTCTTACTGAGTTTTAAAGTAGAATAATTTTTTGATATGAAACTCTTCTATCATTTTAACTTTTTATTTTCTTCTTGCTTTATGCCCTCTCTGCTTTTATCACTATTTATTATTGTAAAGCAAAACTAAATAAAGCTCTGTGGAAATACATCGGACTCATGGGGTTAGGTTGTCTTTGGTTCTGTCTCACTGAGTGCTGACTTGTTTGGTGAAAGTCTAGCCACTGTGGGGGAAAAATAATTTGCTGTGGGTGTGCTTCCTCAACAGGACTCTGTTTGCTCAGGAATGAAGAGGTCACATAGGACCACACACAGCTGAGTTTTCAGAACTGACACCTTTACTGTTTTAAATTAAATTCCATAGCTTTTATAAGGGCAGTATTTCCCCACTTGTCAGAGTTCAAGCACAGGACACTGATTTCATGAAATATATAAAACATGAGGTTTATAAATGATATATTTTTCTTGAATACATATAATGTTTAAAAATATAACCTCAGTTTTATGAGGGTGCACATGTGATGGAAAAATAATTATTTTCCCTTTTTTGCAAAAAAGGAGTAATTTAAGAATCATATACAGTATATAATAAATAATGATGAATACATGAATTTCTTGCTCTGGAATACCTAGTTTGCAATTATAAGGTAAGAGTCAAGCATACTTTATGGTTGACGAGGAGCTGGAGTTTGATTTCAGAAGAAACCAAAATATGTGGCTTCACACGAAAGTTGGAAATGGCCCTACTGAACTCTAATACACTCTCTCTGTGAAAATCTGATAATGAAACTCTAATTCTTATTAATTGAGAGAATAGTTAGTATGCATTATTGTGTGGTCTTAAGATATCTCTTAGGATATCCTTAACTGTGTCTAAAACTTAAAAGACACTTAAAATTATAAATACGCCACTGGAAACATTTCTAGATTATTAATTTGTGTAGTATGTTGGGAACAAAGAAGTGGAATGGTTCAGACAGTACCTTCCCAAATAATAACAAATAATTAATGGAATATTCATTAAGACTGTCTTAGTGTATCAAGATGTTCTATGAATGCTAGAATAATAAAACAAAGTGAAGTTAGTGTCTTAGAACCAAATAAAGTTCTAAGAAATGGAGATCTCATGCTTATTGCTTTGGAGATGAACCAGAACTTTGATAGCTTGTGTAGATCGTGTTTTAGTTATTTGATTACCTGTTAAAGAAAGATTTGTCTCAAGAATGGAAAGGGTTTAAGTCTTTAATCCATCTGGAGTTAATTTTAGTATAAGGTCTCAGGAAGGGGTCGAGTTTCTGCCTTCTGCACACTGTTAGCCAGCTTTCCCAACATCATTTATTAAACAGGGAATCCTTTACCCATTGCTTGTTTTTGTCAGGTTTGTCAAAGATCAGATGGTTGTAGATGTGTGGCATTGCCTCCAAGGCCTCTGTTCTGTTCCATTGGTCTATATCTCTGTTTTGGTACCAGTACCGTGCTGTTTCGATTACTGTAGCTTTGTAGTATAGTCTGAAATCAGGTAGCATGATGCCTCCAGCTTTGTTCTTTTTGCCTAGGATTGTCTTGGATATGCAGGCTTTCTTTTGGTTCCATATGAAGTTTAAGGTGGCTTCTTCCAGTTCTGAGAAGAAGGTCGTTGGTAGCTTGATGGGGATAGTAAAACCTAACACCATAAAAACCCTAAAAGAAAACCTAGGCAAAACCACTCAGGACATAGGCAAGGACTTCATGACTAAAACACCAAAAAGTATTGGCAACAAAAGTCAAAATAGACAAATGGGACCTAATGAAACTCCAGAGCTTCTGTACAGCAAAAGAAACAATCATTAGAGTAAACCAGCAACCAACAGAATGGGAAAAAATTTTTGCAATCTACCCATCTGACAAATGGCTAATATCCAGAATCTATAAAGAACTAAAACAGATTTACAAGAAAAAAGCAAACAAACCCATTCAAAAGTGGGAGAAGGATATAAACAGACACTTTTCAAAAGAAGACATATATGAAGCCAACAATCATGTGAAAAAATGCTCATCATCACTGATTATTAGAGAAATGCAAATCAAAACCACATTGAGATACCACCTCACACTAGTTAGAATGGTAATCATTAAAAACTCTGGAGACAACAGATGCTGGAGAGGATGTGGAGAAATAGGAACACTTTTACACTGTTGGTGGGAGTGTAAATTAGTTCAACCATTGTGGAAGACAGTGTGGCACTTCTTCAAGGATCTAGCAATAGAAATTCCATTTGATGCAGCAATCGCATTACTGGGTATATACCCAAAGATACATGCACACGTATGTTCGTAGCGGCACTGTTTATAAAAGCAAAGTCCTGGAACCAACCAAAATGCCCATCGACGATAGACTAGACAAGGAAAATGTGGCACATATACATCATGGAATACTATGCAGCCATAAAAAATGATGAGTTCATGTCCTTCATAGGGACATGGATGAATCTGGAAACCATCATTCTCAGCAAAGTGACAAAAAAACAGAAAATCATAAGCCGCATGTTCTCACTCATAGGCGGGTGTTGAACAATGAGAACACACGGACACAGGGAGGGGAGCATCACACACTGGGGTCTGTTGGGTAGCGGCCAAGGGAGGGACAGCAGGGTTGTGGGGTGGTCGGGGAGAGATAACATGGGCAGAAATGCCAGATGTAGGTGACGGGGGGGATGAAGGCAGCAAACCATATTGCCATGTGTGTACCTATACAACAATCCTGTATGGTCTGCACATGTACCCCAGAACCTAAAGTACAATTAAAAAAAAAAAAAAAAAGAATGGAAAGGGAAGAATACTCTGGAAGCCTTGGGAGATGGTTTGATTCAATGTATGTCTTGTATATATGTTCATGGTGATTTTTTTGCATCTAAATCTGTTTCTTCCCATTATCCTTCAGTAGTGAACTATAAAATTTTCTATGGCTAATAATTCGATGTATGTATCTATCTCTGTATGTATATATATGCACATATATATACATATGTACACACATATGCATATATACATATAATGTGTGTGTGTATATATATATATATTTCTTTTTGTTTTTGAGATGAAGTCTCACTCTGTCCTCCAGGCTGGAGTGCAGTGGCATGATCTCAGCTTACTGCAACCTCTGCCTCCTGAGTTCAAGTGATTCTCCTGCCTCAGATTACAGGCGCACACCACCATGCCCAGCTAATTTTTTTGTATTTTTGGTAAAGACGGCATTTCACCATGTTGGTCAGGCTAGTCTCAATCTCCTGATCTTGTGATCTACCCGACTCAGCCTCCCAAAGTACTGGGATTACAGGCATGAGCCACCACACCTGGCTCTTTCTTTTTTATAAAAGAAAACAGTTCACTCAAGAACAATAAAACAAAAAAATGTAAAGAATAAATTTAAATGATGTAAATATTTACTAATCCCAGATAATTACTGTTAACCTTATGGTGTGTTTTCTTCCAGTTTGCTCTTTATAAGTAATTCACTTACAAAATTGAAACCATGCTTTATGTATAACATTTTCTTTTTTGTGATAAATATTATATAAAGAGTATTAATTATTCATCAAAAAATATTTTAATGGGGTTCTCTCAATTCATAGAAATGATTTTTTGTAAAACCAGCTCCCCAGAACCTCTTAATATCTAGCCCAAAACTTTATAGCTTGGTATATTTAACCATTGGGCCATTGTTGACTAGAATCCATACTTTATGGTCCAAGTTTTAGATACTCATTTGAGTCTGTGCTTTAGGGCTGTCATAACTAATTTATGAAAGCCTAAACGTTTAACTTGTTAAACTGATTGGATTACACCGATTATATTATTGCTTCTAGAATGCACCAAAGTATAGGTTTGTTTTAATTTTTAAATGCTTCCTCTTTCCTTCAGAACTTTTGCAGATAATACCATAAAACCTTTGTAAGTTAATGTTTCCTGGCACCCTTTGAGAGGAAGCAGAAAGTTTTGTAGTAAGCACTTATGAAATATGCTTACTTTATTCACTGTGATTATAATGTATAACAGTGATTATTATTTAAGTTTATTGATTGGCATTTGTGAAGAACACGCATCTAAACATGCATCAGTTTAGATGATTTGTGAGTCTGTTCTTATGTATCCTGTTACTTCGAGGGAAAGTTCAAGACAAAAATGAAGTATGTGTGCCTACTTTGGATTAGCTTTACAGGGATTTACTGGTACAGATATTAGAATAAACATTTATGTATTTATTGTCTTCTTTTTTAACATCCAATTACCTTTCTGTAACAGGAAGTCATCAATGCGTTGAAACAAACTTGGCATGTTTCCTGTTTTGTGTGTGTAGCCTGTGGAAAGCCCATTCGGAACAATGTTTTTCACTTGGAGGATGGTGAACCCTACTGTGAGACTGGTAAGATCAGGGAGCCATTTGTTTCTTGAATTTTGAATAAAGGTAAAACATTAACCCATATAAAACTATAAAGTCAAAAAACTGTTAGGCAAAGTCATTTTCTTAATTAATTTGGGAGAATTTAATGTTACTCTAAACATACAGAAAAACAACTATGTAGATTTTTTTTCTTTTGAGATGGAGTCTCACTTGTGTTGCCCAGGCTGGAGTGCAATGGTGCAATCTTGGCTCACTGCAGCCTCTGCCTTCCAGGTTCAAACAATTCTTCTGCCTCAACCTCCCAAGTAGCTGGGATTACAGGCATGCGCCACCATGCCCAACTAATTTTGTAGAGACAGGGTTTCATCATGTTGGCCAGGCTGGTCTCAAACTCCTGACCTCAGGTGATCCACCTGCCTCAGCCTCCCAAAGTCCCAGGATTACAGGCATGACCCACCGTGCCTGGCCTTATGTAGAATTTTTAATGTGACTTTGTCAAAACAGATATTCCCAACTTTATTATAATAATTGAGAATGTAAGCATTATTTAGTAGGAAAAATATTTTGCTTGAATTCCCAATAATTTATGGATATAAATTCAACCAAATCTTGTACCTTAAGGCTACTTCTTATAGTCCAGTAGTGAATTTTGAGTTGTTGTAAACATCAGAAATATTCCACTTTAGAATATGATATTGATTTGCACTTTAAGGCAACTGCCTTGAAAATAAATTTGAAATCCTTTGATACTTTTACTGAATGAGAAAGTAATCCTGACTTGGATTGTTCCCATGGTAAAATGGTTTTTAATAAACTAGACTATAAGGACCTATCTACTACATTTGTCATATCACATAAACTCAGAACTTTTCCTTTTCCTTCCCAAAGTCTGTACATGAACTTTCATAAGATTTATTTATTAATATAACCCTTAGATATTACTATCACATACACATTTCAAAATATAAAACATTTTTCCCTTATCATGCCTTCACTCACTACCATCACATTCTCACTACTGAGTTTTATTCTACCTTGAAATCAAAGTGCTGTGCTAGAAGAATGAGATATTCCAGAATAGTGGAGTTAAAGGAGCAGTCAGCTTCTGAATTGAAGCTGTATCATCATTATTTAGCCCTTCTTTGCCCACTCAATATTCTCTTATTTTCATCTTCCTTTCAGCTCCTTAGTTTGAACCAACCTGGGTATATTCTAGACTGTCTCCCGGGAACCCCAGAAATTCCAGTGAAATACCCCATGGGCTGTTATGGGACAAGTTGGCCACAAGCTGCCTTCCTCGATTCAATAAGAATACTTTATATTTTGTAATTCTACTTAATTTTTCTGAAGAAAGAACTGGGGTTTTTTTGTATGTTTTGTTTTATTTTGATTTGTTTGTTTTAGCAGCTTTGGAAAACATTTTGACTAACTGGCAGGTAGCCCCTATCTAGCCAAAACACATAAAACTATGTAGCCTTAATACCATATTTAATGTATTTGAAGTCATATTTTAAAAAACAAATAATTGCTTATAGAAGAGGAAAAATGTTATTGAATATTTATTTAAATGTCACATCTAATCAACTTGGTCTGTTTTTGTTTTTTTTTTCTTTTAACCCCCAAACCATTTCTGAACCCAGTCTTCTTCATCTCAATAAATAATCTTACCGTCCACTAGCCAAGAACATTCAGACCATGTTGGATTCTGCTTTTTCCCTTGTTCTGTCCTTATCCTATCTAAATAGTAAATCCTGGCAGTTCTACCTCCATTGTATATCACAGTCATTTATTTCTCTCCATCTTAACTGTCACTCAATCTAACTTGCTTTCACCCTTTGTCTGGTCATTGTAATTAGCACCTAAATGGTATCGCCCCTCCCATTCCTTCCAGCCTCCAAATAGCAGGCACAGAGCAGCTGTAGTAATATTTTTTTAAAATGTGAATAAACCCCTTAGTGGCTTCCACTAGAAAAAAATTACACTTTTCTTTTTCTTTCTTTTTTCTTTTTGAGACGGAGTTTCGGGCTTGTTACCCAGACTGGAGTGCAATGGCACGATCTCAGCTCACGGCAACCTCCGCCTTCTGGGTTCAAGCAATTCTCCTGCCTCCGCCTCCCGAGTAGCTGGGACTACAGGCGTGCACCACCATGCCCAGCTAATTTTTATATTTTTAGTAGAGACGGGGTTTCACCTTGTTGACTAGGATGGTCTGGATCTCTTGACCTCGTGATCCACCCACCTCGGCCTCCCAAAGTGCTGCAATTATAGGCATGAGCCACCGCACCCGGCCTAAACATTACACTTTTCTTTATTTTTATTTTTTATTTTTTTTGTTTTTTGAGATAGAATCTCACTCTGTCACCAGGCTGATGTGCAGTGGCCTGATCTTGGCTCCCTGCAACCTCCACCTCCCGGGTTCAGACAATTCTCCTGCCTCACCTTCCGAGTAGTTGGGATTACGTACGGGTGCCTGCCAGCAGGCCCAGCTAATATTTTTGTCTTTTTAGTAGAGACAAGGTTTCACCATGTTGGCCAGGTAGAACTCCTGATCCGTCTGCCTTGGCCTCCCAAAGTGCTAGGATTACAGGTGTAAGCTACCATGCCCCATCAAATTACACTTCTTACTAGGGCCTGTTTTGCCATCCTCATCTACTCCCACCTTGACTTCTGTCACCAGATTCTACCCATACCCAGCCCCTTGGCGTTTTCTGAACATGCTGAGATCCTTCCTTCCTCGGGGCTTTTGTGCTTACTGTTTCTTCTAACTGTAATGTTCCTCATCAGCTTTTCTGTGGCAATTTCTCTTTATTCTTCACTTTTCGTTACAACTGTTACATCTTCAGAGAGGTCTTTTCTAATTTTCCTAAATAGCGTAGTGCCCCCCCAATTATTTTGTATTAAATTACTGTTTTCTTTTTTTCATAGTACTTATGATAATCTGAAATTACTTATTTCTTAAATTCAATAAATCATGACATCCTCTTTCCAATGAGAATATAAGCCCCATGAGGAAAGCAACCTCAACTGTCTTCTTCATCACTGTACTTCTGTGGTGCCTTGAACAATGCCTGGCACACAGTAGACTGCATGGATCTATGCTGAGCAAATGGTGCGAAGGAATACTAAAGATTGACGGTTGCTAAGAAAGGTGAATTGCATTGCAAATTATAGCCTGCTTTCCTCTTCAGCTGAGGTTGGACTGACAATGTCAAAGGCCAAAGGGTGAACCATGAGTCAACACAGTAGTGAGAGGAGCTGCTTAAAAGAAAATTAGGGCAACCAGCCTGGCCAACACGGTGAAACCCTGTCTCTACTAAAAATACAAAAATAATTAGCTAGGCATGGTGATGGGCTCCTCTCCTGTAGTCTCAGCTACTCGTGAGGGTGAGGCAGGAGAATCGCTTGAACCCGGGAGGCGGAGGTTGCTGTAAGCCAAGATCGCACTACTACTCTTCAGTCTGGGCAACAGAGCAAGACTCTGTCTAAAAAAAAAGAAAAAGAAAGAAAGAAAGAAAAGAAAGAAAATTAGGGCCAGATACAGTGACTCAAAGCCTTTAATCCCAGCTCTTCAGGAGGCTAAGGCAGGATTATCCCTTGAGGCTGTGAGTTCAAAACCAGCACAGGCAGCCTACCAATACCCTGTCTCTACATGAAAAAAATTTTTTAATTAGCTGGGCATGGTGATATGTGTCTGTAGGCTCAGCTACTCAGGAGATGGTGACAGGAGGATGGCTTGAGCCCAGGAGGTGGAAGATGCAGTGAATTATTATCACACCACTGCACTCCAGCCTGGGTGACAGAGTGAGACTCTCTAATGAAAAAAAAAAGAAAAAGGAAAGAAAATTCTAATTTGGTAAAACTAGAAAGCATCTTCTCAAAACTGCTTTCTTCAGAAGGAAATCCTGTTAGTATTCTTGTAACTGTAGTCTATGTCAAGTAAATGGTCTTTTCTGGGCAAGGGTTTTCAACATGAAGTTACAAAATTGAAAGGAAAATACAACAAAATAAATTGTGGCTAATATTGTTGTGATACAGTCTAGCTAGAAATTCAGTCATAGCACTTATTCATACAAGTTTCCTGCAACGTTTCTTTTTCTTTCTTGCCCAAGTCAGATACACTATGAAATTTGCCAATATCAGACATTTGTTCTTGGTCCCTGTCCATTAGTCTTACTGTTGCTAGTTATTAGTATTCCTTTGTATTTCTTTAGAACAGTTATTTCTACTGATAACTGGTCACAAAACAGTTCTTCTTTTTTTCCCCCTCCTGAGACAGAGTGTCATCCCGTCTCCCAGGCTGGAATGAAGTGGTGCAATCTTGGCTCGCTTCAGCCTCCCTCTGCTGGGTTCAAGCAATTCTTCTGCCTCAGTCTCCTCAGTAGCTGAGACTATAGGCATGTGCCACCATGCCCAGTTAATTTTTGTGTTTTTAGTAGAGACAGGGTTTCACCATATTTGCCTGGAAGCTCTTGATCTCTTTACCTCATGATCCACCTGCCTCAGCCTCCCAAAGTGCTGGGATTACAGGCGTGAGTCACTGCACCTGGCCAGAACAGTTCTTCTTTATACTTATTTAGGCAATTAAGTAGTTGGAGAGAAGCGAGAAGTATTACATGGAAAATTATAATCAAGAATGTTAGGTTGCATAAATAATATTTACCAAGGGAATCCTGAAACATGCTGAACATATCTTTCAAGCCAAACATTATGCCATCTCCTGAAATTTTTCAAATTCCTAATATCTTTATCTTTAGCATCTCATTTAATCCTGATTTTGTTGCTGCCTTCTAGGAACGATCATTCTACAACTTCATTGTGTTTAAATTATGTCTCTCTGCCCTGCCTCAATACAGATTATTATGCCCTCTTTGGTACTATATGCCATGGATGTGAATTTCCCATAGAAGCTGGTGACATGTTCCTGGAAGCTCTGGGCTACACCTGGCATGACACTTGCTTTGTATGCTCAGTAAGTAAAGTCTTACTTCCTACTTAAAGGGGAATAGTACGGCCAATTCTAGCTTTAGTATTTAATGGAAATATCAGCTCTCATATCTTTTAGTCCATTGAACCTAAAAAATATATATTTTTACTTTTTTGTAAATTTTAAAAGTTGTTTATTACATTTTTTGGCATTTTTTAAATTATTTGGCAAACAGTGAGATCCTTAGTCCTTAGAGAAAATATAATTTTAATATATTTTTGTCTATAAGAAGAAGCTATCTATTTCTTAAAACAGTAAGTTTCCTTTACTTAAAAAAAGTAGTTTTTGGAAATGTTAGGTACTTCTTAAAATACAAAGGAACAATTATCAAAATCTATTTTTGAATTAACACTAGGAATAAAGTATATGTTGATTCATTTCTTTTCTCAGCAGTAGCTTCTGGATATTCTTTTCTTTTTGAGACTATAGTCTAATAAACATGTAACAAAGTATTTGCCTATTCATTTGATATTTTAATATTTTTGGTTTTATGTTTAATGATTAGGATAGATTCAGAGATTAAAATATATAGTTTTTAAATGTAGGAAGTAAATATCCACTAAACATGCCTCTGTTCAGGTGTTTGATTTTTGAAAATTTGATTTAACATAGCTATAGTTTTCAATACCCATTGTACAAAGGGAACAAAAGTAATATTAATTGAAGCCTAATGATTTCCCCAAACATTACCATTGAACTCATGTTTACCTCATCCATCTCTTAGACTTCATAAAGTCTATAAAAAGCAAAAGTTTTAGCAGATTTACCTTTTCTTTAATAAAGCTCTTCATGAGAATTTTAATTAACAAAGGCAGCAGGAAGAACAGGAAGCTGTACATGTAGATAGTCAGCTGACTGTGTAATCCTGCAGCAGCCAGATGTTGACCTGGGTCTTTATGTAAGAAACTAACTAAAAAGAGGTCTCAGCTTGAACACAAGGCACCCCTTAAAAAAAAGTTCTCAGGTATTCTGTGTATTTGTGGGCAAGCTAATGTTGGGCTTGGGAAGGTTTGGTAAAGCAAATGAGTCATGTTTTGGTTCCCTACAACACTAAGCAAAATTAAGACATTGTTTAGAATTCAGGGAGATACAATATATTTAATGGGCCCTCTTTCTATATTAAATTTTTAGTTAGGAATAAATCTTCCCTCTGGATAAAGAAAAGTGATGCTCAGTGCTTTCTATAAAGTAGAATACATTCTAGGAAAAAGCCATATTTCATTGCTTTTGAAAGATTATATCTAATTGTCCTAGTAATTGTGAAATATTAGGGAGTCTAACATAACCAACTAAAGTGTTTTGTCGTATTATCCATTGGGGGAAAAATCACTTTCTCCTTCTCCAGCATACTTGATACAATCCTCTTAATATCCTCTTAAATAATGCATAATATCCTTTTAAATAATATCCTCTTAAATAATGCTTCTTTTTCAGGTGTGTTGTGAAAGTTTGGAAGGTCAGACCTTTTTCTCCAAGAAGGACAAGCCACTGTGTAAGAAACATGCTCATTCTGTGAATTTTTGAAAGTCAACAGTTCAGGAGAAGAGAAGAAATTTGAAGAGAAAAATGAAAATTAAAATTACTAATTAATTTTTAGATTCAATATTTATTTGGAGTTTTGAAAAATCATAGTGGCCCTGAAGGAATAAATTCCAGCTTTAAAAACCAAGTCTGAGGAAATATTTGGCTTCATAAAGTAAAGAGACAGTTTGGCATTATTACTTTTTCCTGTATTTTATGCCCATAAAATAACTATTATAAAAACCAATTTCCTGATGGACTATTAAATTCATCTTAGAATAAATTAGTGAAGAATTAAATTTTAGAATAAATTATACAATCTGAAATAATTATACCTTCTTTCCTTGTTAGGTAGTTACAAGAAAATCTGCAAAAGGCAATGAAAATGCCTTTAATTTTATCAATAAGAGAATCATTTAAAGAAAAACTAATACATATCTTTAAAATAGTACATAGGATTTTAAACAGAGAGTTTTATCAGTAGTAGGTGTCAGTTTTTTAAAATTGCCTATAGGCCAGATGTAGTGGCTCATAACTGTAATCCCAGCACTTTGGGAGGCCAAAGCGGGCGGATCACCTGAGGTCAAGAGTTCAAAATCAGCCTGGCCAACATGGTGAAACCCCATCTCTACTAAAAATACAAAAATTAGCCAGATGCGGTGGCATGTGCCTGTAGTCCCAGCTACTTGGAAGGCTGAGGCACGAGAATTGCTTGAACCTGAGAGGCGGAGGTTGCAGTGAGCTGAGATCGTGCCACTGCACTTCAGCCTGGGTGACAGAGGAAGACTCTGTCTCAAAAAAAAAATTGCTTGTATATTGTTTTTCCCTTACAGTGGATCATTCTAGTAGGAAAGGGCAATGAGATTTTTTTAAATCAAAATGTGTTATGCCAGTAAGAGACATTGTATTCTTTTCTCATTTCTTCCCCACCCAAAAATAAGCTACCATATAGCTTATAAGTCTCAAATTTTTTGCCGTTTACTAAAATGTGACTTTCTATTCACTGTGTGTGCTTCATCACTTATATTAGGCAAATTCCATTTTTTCTCTTCCCTGATGCTAAGGCAAAGATTTGATTAAATAATTTTGGCCTCTAACAGCTTTCTCTCTCTTTAAAGAGAATAAATAGGAAAGAATGTGGCTGGGGACTATAGTGAATCAGAAGATTGTATCCCCCAGTTTTTTCATTCCACCCTTCTCAAATAATAAGTCAGTTAAATCTGTTTCTGAGTTCTGCCACTGGCTGATGAAGAGTTGAGAGCTCTCTTTGCAGAATAATGTTTTGTTTCATTTTTTCTCTTCTACCTTTAAAAATTAAAAAATTGGCTTGAGGATGTGATGAAATTCAGACTTTTTGTGGTTTTCTCTCAATAATAAGTGAACCAATTTCACATATGATCACAAAGTTTGGAAAGCTTTTATTCACAGAGGTTTGGTAGTGTTGGGAGGGGAGTTTAATTATTCAGATTGGCCTGTTATTTGATTTCCTCCTTTGGGAAAAGAATTATGTAGCTACCACATGGAGACAGGGAAACAATTGTGGTAAAACTGTGGATGCTGTTGCTATTTGCCCAGTGAGAAAACAGATTTTGGTATTTGATTTTGTTTTTCTCTTTGTTTCCAGAATGGATGAAAGACCATGAACCCCCTAAGTTATAATTTAAATTTGTTTGGGGCAAGGTGCCTTTATAGTTGAGACAGAGCCCTAGGTCCTTCCTGCCCCATCACTCACTTACGACATCACTTCCATTGTGTGCATGTTTGTTATAGAGGAGGTTTTAGGCTACAATATTTGTTTAACCTCCCTAAGAACTTTCAAGGCATCTGTCCTGAAAGCTGTTAATTTATGGTCTAGCAGATTTATATTATATGCAGATAATAATTAACTGGGGATAAAAGAATGGCAAGGGGTGACACAAAGTAGCAAACTGAATACTTCTCCAATAGCAACCCCAAGCTAGCTCCTCACCCTGCATCTTGCAGGCAGGCAGGAGATTTCTTTTGAAACAACATGCTGGAACTGAATTCTGCATTATTTATCATTGCTGCTGAAACCACCTATAAAAGACTTGCTGGCTGATGTGCATTGTCATATAATGTACACATCTTTTGCTACAGTCTTTTACATTTGACATACAAAATAAGTTGATGGTTTTGTTTGGTGTGATTTTTTTTTAGTTTTACCTTCTTAGGTTATATGTCAAGATAGTATTTGATAAGTCTATGGCATTTAGATGTTTTCTTCAGAGAATTTTATTTGACCCAGATTTCTTATAATGTTATCTTACATTAAGGATATCATTTTATTAGACCTTTCTTTCTGCATATTATTCATGAAATATAATGTTGCATTTCTCCAAATTTTATTCCTGAAAGCGTAGTGTTGCTTCCTAATGTATCATTTTTGTCTTTGTACTTTGTCCATCTCTTCCATGGCAAAGGGTTATATCTGTTCCTAAAACAGATATAATTAGTTAATCCTGTGAAATAAATCTTGAACATAATCCAGAAGAATCTCTGTATTTCCAGTGGGGAATGCCATATTTAATTCACCAGCAGTAATCCTTTGATAACTGGCAGAGCACTTTATTCTTCTGATGGGCTCCCTGAATATTTATTTTTCTGATTATAAATTTTCTATGTCAGTAGCATTTTTTATCATTACTTCTTCACTATAGAGCATTTACTTTTAGTCTCTCTAGATGTGTATTTTGGAATGATGTACTTGGCATAACATAGATGAAAATCATAATGCCTGACTAAAATTTCCTTAGATTTATTTCCCATTTAAAAATTTCTGGTGATAAGTTCAGATTTATAATCTTTCTCTGGACTTACATGGACTGAATGTTGCCTGCCGAAGTAGGCAACCTAAAAAGTAGCCCCTGCTTATGCTTCTATAGTTGGCCCTCCGTGTCGCATCTGTGATTCAATCAACTGTGGGTCAGAAATAAGTGGGGGAAAACAATTGATGGTGGTGCCTTTACTGAACATGTACAAACTTTTTTTGTCATTAATTCTTAAACAATATAGTGTAACAGCTATTTACACAGCATTTACATTGTATTAGTTATTATGAGTAGTCTAGAGATGTTTTAAAGTATATGGTAGGATGTGCATAGGTTATTTGGCAATTCCTTCACCATTTTATATAAGGGACTTGAACATCATGGATTTTGGTATCCTAGGGGGTCGTTGGAACCAGTCGCCCAGAGGGGTACCATGGGATAACTGTAGTATCGTGTTTATTTCTTATTAATTAAGATTACGTTTAAAATCTAAAACTGGAACCTAATCATTAGGTCACAGTGTAAAAACAAATGGAAATAGCAGTTCAAACCTTCAAAATATTAATGTAGCATTATGTTCAAAATAATCTACAACAAAAATGTACCATTTTCAAGCAGTACTATATCAGGAGCCCTTTTATATAAAATAAGTTCTTCGTTACCCCTGTTCAAGTGTGAGCTTAGTATTCTGTTAACATTTGTGTGGTGTTTGGAGTTTAGTCATCCCTTTTGAAGGGAGAGCCTTCTCAGACATAAAACAAGAGAAACATACTAAATAGTTTTACCCAAATTTGATCTGCCTTCCATTCACCCCCCCCAATTTCCCAAATGTTTAAAGGTATTGGATTTGGATTCTCAATGTATAATTTGCCTTATCTGTTCATCTCTATCTTCTGTCTCTTTAGGTTTGTATATATCTGCTGTTTTGCTTTTGGATACATTTTCTAATTAAAAGTCACATGAGAAATATAATCAGTATAGTAATACCATAATGTGCACATACTCAACAAATAAATGACTGCATTATTGTAAATGAGCTCTTCTGGTGTGTTGTCGTTGTTGTTGTTGTTGGGTGGTAAGTGGTTTCCATCAAGTCATCACGGGAAAATAAATCCAGTTCCATATTCATAGGTTAGGACTGGATGTAATAATTCTCAGAAGAATCCTTCTAGTATGATATTTGCTTATCAAAATGTCTCAAAGAAAATATTTGAAAATACTATCACATTTATTATACTTCTCTCTATTTTTATGCTGTGCATGTAGAATGTACCCAATGTTTGTGAATTAATAGATAAGTTTTAATGTCTTTTTAAAATATTTATTGCTGAAATGATGTATTGGAACAGCCTGTCATATCAAACATTATATTAGAACATAAATCATCATCCACATTTCCACATTTTTCATTAGATATTGCATTAGATAGATCTCATCCCGATCTCATTAACTTACTGTTCCATAAATAGGTAGGCTCACCTCTTTCTCATTTGTTTATTTGTTTAAGATTTTTTTTCCAACTGTATAAAGTTAAGACAAATGTTTCTGTTGCATGCCGTATGTTGGCAATAAAAGAGAAATTCAAGTCTATTTGCTCACAGTATATTAAACTCCAGAAGCCAAACTTTTAAGGGCATCAAGTCTGCATCTGACATTTTAATAGTTGCTGTTTGGTTTCTATCAATCACGTCATTGCACATTAAAATGCACCGACAAAATAAGAGATCTGTCATTCCTTCGTTAAGAAACAGTAATCCAGTACAAGATTTATAGGCTTAAGTCTCAACCGTGTGTTCACAATAAATCCCCATTCAGTGCTCAAATCAGAGCAAGCCTCCCTGTCGTTCAGTGTTTTCTAGTCAAAATGTCCCGAATATAAGATTATCAAAGGTTTTCTTACAGAACTACATATAAAATTCTTTTGCCAGCAAAAGCTTAATTTGGGTTGGCGGTTTCCCTTTTTGAATACTCTCAGACAAGATCTTGGTTATATCAGAAACACATAGGTACTGATGTATTATTAGCAGGCCTGGTGTTAATTAGGGAGAATTACCAGAAATAGTTTGCTTCGTGGAAATTTATTACAGAATCACACTTGACTGATGGCAGAATAGGAGTTGCTGAGAGAGAGCAGCTCCCACTCATAACCACTAATTAATAGGGTGCTAAAATTCTGCAGAGAAAGCTTCATCCCAAGTGTGGGAGCCTCCCAGGGAAAATGGTTCCTTTGCAGTATTTAAAATTTAACAGAGGAAAGGGGCTAGGACACATGTCTACCTAACAGAAATCTCAGACTGATATGGTTTTGTGCTGTAATATGAATGAGAGGATTTAACTCAGTAAGCACTGAGCCAAAATGTTGCCTGTATATTTTTCATACTAAGGAGATATGCATATTATTTTTAATGTAGCAAGTGTCTGATTTGCTAAACTGTTCATTTTCTGAGGAGAACTTACAGCACTGTATACCATTTGTCTATAGTATTATATTATGGAACTTTTACTCTTAATTCTGTGATTTAGAAGTTGTCTGGGTAGGTGGCAAGATTGCATCAATGATTAATAAGAAGGGTGCCGTGGCTGGGGGCAGTGGCTCAAGCCTGCAATCCCAGCACTTTGGGAGGCTGAGGCGGGTGGATCACCTGAGGTCGGGAGTTCGAGACTAGCCTAACCAACATGGAGAACTCTCGTCTCTACTAAAAATACAAAAATTAGCTGGGTGTGGTGGTGCATGTCTGTAATCTCAGCTGCACAGGAGGCTGAGGCAGGAGAATCGCTTGAACCCGGGAGGTGGAGATTGAAGTGAGCCGAGAGCGTGCCATTGCACTCCAGTCTGGGCAACAAGAGTGAAACTCCATATCAAAAAAAAAAAAAAAGTGGTGCAGTCTTCATACCTTGAACATGGGGTTGGGGAAAAGTGAGATGCATTTTGTGATTTGCATTAAAGGCAGAGCACTAGGGGAGCCCTATTAAATAGAAGTTTGCCGAGATGGCAGTTTTTATTTTGTCCTGTCTGTGACTGCATGTAATAACACACAATAAAGCTTGGAGCTCTTGTTTAGTGTAGAATAGGATATTTCCATGTCAGAAAACCACTGATCTGGCCTCAGAGAGATAAATAAAGCAATTTAGAATTCTCAAGGAGTATAATTTTTCAATTTCTCAAATATGGTAAATATAGTTCCCAAGGAAAATGACTTCTATGCCAAGTCCATGAATTGATTGACGTGGTCTCTTATGCATCTATGTTTCAAAGGACAAAGTTTCTGTCCTTTCTTTCTGAAGTTTCCTAATTGGGTTCCAAATTATTTTTCATCTTCATATTCCAAACTCATGTTTCCTCTCTAGTTCAAATATAATGGGGTTTGTTTTTTTTCTTTTTTCCTCTTTCTTCTTTGTTTCTTTTGTTTGTAAAGCACAAACAACTGGTGCTATTCTAACTTACCATTGTTTCTTTGTTTAAAGAATCTGAGTAGACTATAATACCTTCAGGTGTGTCTTAAATTTTCTATCCTAGTTTATTACTAATATGCCCAGTTGTTCCCTTGGTAAATGAGAAAGTAAATGGAACTCCAGTTACATCATAGCAATATTAGTTTTGGCATAAATAAAACTGCTTACTTAACCTATATTGATGTCATCTAACCCCGGAAGCTTTCTCTATCCCTGTTTCCTTTAGAATCCTGACAATTTCAGCCTCTTTAATTGAATGAAATGGAGAACAGAGGAATCCATGGAGCTTTTCAACTATGAACTTTGAAATACAAGTTAAATTAATTCCAGCTTAATTAACTGGAACTTACAATTCATTCTGCTTTGCTAAATTATTATGCTACTGCTTAGTGATTTTTCTAGTACATTATAAATGCTTTGAATTCTTTGCCCCTAGAAAAGATAAATTGATCTGAATCTCTTATAGTTTGTTTGTGCCTATATCTGGGAAGTTCTGGATGACCTTTGACAGTATCAACATAGATTATAATCAAGAATATTAATTATAGCTGAGGGGGAAAAGTGGTTACTCCTGGTAGATAAATCTGGATACAGTCAGGAGGACAAAAATTACAAAATAACTTCGAGTTATTATGCAGTATAAGGAATTATTAAGCTGTGATAGGAGAGTAACTAAAAATATAAAGTGACCTCAGCCCAGGTATGGTGGCTCACACCTGTAATCCCAGCTCTCTGGGAGGCTGAGGCGGGTCAAGACCAGCCTGGCTAACAAGATGATACACTGTCTCTACTACAAAAATATGAAAATTAGTCGATTGTTGTGGCACGTGCCTGTAATCCCAGCTATTCGGAAGGCTGAGGTAAGGGAATCTCTTAAACCTGGGAAGCAGAGGTTCCAGTAAGCCAAGATCATGCCACTGCACTCCAGCCTGCAGCCTGGGCTCCATCTCAAAAAATGTATGTATATATATAAAACTCCATCTCAAAAAACGTGTGTGTGTGTGTGTGTGTGTGTGTGTGTGTGTGTATCCTCTAAAGGATAGCCCGGGCTAAGGAGGACCCAAAGAAGACAAGCTTAGAAAGGAGATTCCCTCCACATGGCTGGGGGTAGGACCTTGTTGGAGAAAGTGGTTTCAGCCCACTAAATAACAGTTCTCTGGATTGCTGAGGTTCTGGTGACAAGGAAACAATCTTCTGGAATGCAGACAAGATTGATGGGTGGGCACACAAAGAGTTGGGTGCTGCTGTGGGCACAGGCTCAGAATACATAGTACCCATGTCATGAAGCAAGGTGATCACGAGGCCCCAGCCCAGGATGTGAAATTCCTGAGGGACTGTGCACTCAGGAAGCACAGCTGGGGCAGAGCACCAGTTGTCTCCACACACATATGCCCTGATGGACCACACAGAATAAAACAAATGTAACACCCAGAACCAGGAAGAGAGGCCACTTGCTTCTGCTGTATTCCCTCTGATCCCTTCTGGACAAAGCATCGTGATCACTGTAAAGGAAAAATGATTACTATCACAAAGTTGGTACTGAAGAGCAAAGGGTGAAGTTTGGACCTGCAAGTCAATAAATTGATAATGGCACTCAGTGCAAACTGGAAACTAGATTCTCAACTAAACTGAGGCTTCCATTATCCAGAATGTCACTGTATATTATTGGTGAATTATAAAGTCAAATAAGAAATTCTTCCGACTTTGTTCTTTCCTGTAAAAAATCCTCTTGTGAATATGCTTTCAATGTGCAAAGTAAACAATGTTGCATTGATTGTGTTTTTCAAGGTATGTCCTCTAAATATTCAGTATAAGTAAGTAGCTCTGAATATTTAGGAGATTTAGTTGGATATATACTAAGATATAACCAAAGGGTTTTTTTTTTTAGTTCATTTTCTTCTACTGTAATGCTTTTCCTACGTTAAAATGAATAAAATATTCTCAATTGAAAGCTTATGTTAGTTAACTGGGATTTCAGCTTACAGAAACTTCTGTATAAACTCCAATCCTTGTCATGTAAAAAAATGAACGATTTTCATATTTAGAAATAGAAAGCGAAGAGATTAATAAGTTCCCCTTCTCAGTAAACTAAACCATGAGGGCTCAGGCCCAGCAGATCTGTAACAGCTAACATTTGTTTTATCGTCTTTGTAATATGTGTGCTATGTTACTTGATATAATAGTATACTGTAAAGTTCTAATAATTGGAGAAACTCTCAGAGTCAAGTATTTTTAAATCACATGAGAAAATGAAAACTCAGAGAAACGAGTCTCTAAAAACACAGTTATTAAAGCAAATCTGAGACTTAGTCTTTCTAACAGCCTAGGGAGGAAATTTATTACTTTAACACATTCCTTTAAGATCCTTATTATCAATAAGGGACAATTCCCATATATTGTTAGTAAAGGATATTGTTAGACAGTATTTAGTTTTGCTGTAGTATGTAAAACTTAAAGACTATCTCTTTCTGACTTATGCAGTTGCCTGCTACACAGATGTCAATATTTGTGAGGTTTGCAATTGGACCATCTGTTCTTCAAGGGTATTTGTGAGTTGGTCGTCCTCTCTGCAATGCACCATTT